GTAATATACATTTTCCTTATTATATTCCAAGTGAACAGGAGAAGGAAAGTTCAATGAATATTAATTCTTCCGAACAATGGTCTTTAGAAAGTCATTCACCTTGGCTTAGACATTTGGTATATGCAAGCTCATCCCACTCAAGTGTTCCGCTATTTTCGATACTACTGATTAACTCGAAAAAGCAACGCAATATTAAAGTAGTATAAAACGACGTGCAATTCAACGTCGTCAGGCACAAATTGCTGATCAATTTACAGACTAGAAAATTGAACCCCGCATTTTTTAGTGTTATATTTAAAGATCCACAGGGTGTGTTAATTAATAATTGGATTTTACTTGATCAAAAACACATTTATCAAAATAAATAAGAACTAAAAGATCAGATTTTCACGAAATTATATATTTTTACATGACAATTGTTTCGACAACACCGTGTCTTTATCAAATGTGAACAAATGTGAACATTTGATAAAGACACGGTGTTGTCGAAACAATTGTCATGTAAAAATATATAATTTCGTGTTTTGTGTGTTAATTTCCTTGCTACTACCCTGGACCGGTTTAATTTATTGGCTCAAAAATGCCTACGAGGAGATAAAAACAATAGCATTATTTTATCTAAAGGTAGACAAGGAGGGATCGATTCGGAAGTTTCGCACTTCCATGGTATAAAACCGTTTTTAACATGACGTATTTACTAGCCTTTATCAGTTTTCACTGATAACGGCTAGTGATACTTTCTTGCCGAAACCAGTAGCCTTATTTTATATTATTATTTTATTATACTTATATATATATTAATATTATTTTAAAGTGATCAGACTACAACACACATGGCAGGATAAAAATTTAAGAAGCACGATGGAAGCTTTGATGGAAGGATGATCCGCTGAAATACCATCAGAAAAAGGTAAAACATTGTTAGCAAAAATGGATTTGTCAGTGGTGGCTTTCAATTAAAACGGGCTGAAAACTATCATGCTGGTTTTTGAAGATTACTTCCGGCAAATGCTAGATCTTGATCTTATTCCTGCTGAGCGTGTTATAATCATGGAAAATGCCAGCTACCACTCTGTCTTCTTGGAAAAAAAATTAAGTCTTCACTGGAGGTTATAAATTTGAATAAACCGTCATTGTACGAAATTAGTTTTTGACGACAGACAATGGACAGTGAGAAACGGTGTCAGTGCGTCGAAGATGTTACTGAAACAGAAGAAAGAATGTGGAAAGCTGATGACATGCTACAAAAAAAATGCACAATCAAAGTGGCAATGTAAATTGTTAACTTTTTATAAATAATAATATTGCCTACAGTTTGTCTATTTTCATATGTAGTTCTATACAAGTTTTGATCTTTTCAGGAAACCACTTTCAGATTTACAAACGAGAAGGGATATGTGGCTGCATCAGGATGATGTCTAGTATACTTCTCTTACGTTACGAAGTTAGGAAATTCCTGCATGTAATCAACCAATCAACGAAAAATCCGAGAATCTATAGAAATCCATAAGCTACCAAACAATCTTAACCACTACTCATGTCAATATGGGAATTGGTCATCCGAGACAATGTTCATGTTCCTCCTTTAGCTTCGACCCCAATAAAACAACATACAAGGAGATACAGGGCGAGCCAGTTTCAGTTAAGCGCTGGAGAAACCAAAAACCGGCGCAGTGAGAGTCCAGAAGTTTTGTAAATAGTAGTATATCTTTGAAAAATTAATTATGGAGAAGACATCAACAGCAAAATCACAAAGTTAGAAGATCACCGACTGAAACTGGTACAATTAATACATTGACTTTTTTGTTACGTTGTAGATATTATAACGTTACCTCTAATTTTCTCAAAATCTCTAATTTTGCCTTACTTTGAGAAGAAGAAATAGACCAAGTCCACATCATGAAATTGCATCCATCTTTTCCCCATCAGAGTTGGATACACTTTCAAATTCGATTCATGACAAAGCTAAAAATCTTCGTTTATCTTCTTCCCAGAATCACTTTCAAAAACTAACGTCAACCCTAGTGAAATTCTACCAAACAGTGTGGTAAATGGTTCATCACACCAACTTCATATTTAAATTAATAAATTAAAATCCGAGATTCTGGAACCAAATCTTCTCACCTTAATTGAAAAAAGCTTGCCCACTTGGAACATTTTCATAAAGGTCAAATTTTTGAACAAACGTCGGGAACAGCTATGGGTGGTTCTCCATTATCACCAGTCATCGCGAAAATGTTTTAGAGGAAACAAAAATTATGGAAACGCTACGTTGATGATATTTGTGTGATTTGGACTCATAGTGAAGAATTCCCACGAGATTTTCTTGACCATTTAAACTCTATACACTCTTTTTTACGTTTTACCATTGAATTAGAAACTAAAATCATAGGTTATCAACTCTCTTGTTGCTTTCGAAAATCGATGAAATCGAATTTTTCGAAAGGATCTGCGCTCGTATAAAAATTTTATATCTCGGTAACTGTAAGTCCTATGTGATCGCAGTTGGTACAGAAATGATCACCGTTGAAAAAAAAAATTTTTTTGTCTGTCCGTTCTCCGATCTCCGTTCTCGTCTTTTAGTTTTTCCTGAATAACCTTCGAACCGTTGGAGTTACAAAATTAAAATTTGCTTCCTTTTTAACCCTTCACGAGGCACATAAGCTTACAAGAAATGGCTCTGATCTGACGCCGGTATCCATATTTTTTTCGCGATTTTCGACTGTTTTTTGGACCTTGCTATGAAACACGATGTGCTTGAAATTTGAAGCAATCGACTCCATATGTGGCACACATATGCAGCTTAACCCCGCAACGGAACCTATTGAAAATGAGAGGGCTGGGAGGTCGGGAAGTATTTAAAAAAAAATAAAAATCGCGTGTGCAAGGGTCTACAAAAAAGACCATTTTTCAAAAACTGTTAACAAGCCCGAAGAAATTCTTGAACCAGAAGACGCAGAGGAAACGACTCCATAAACTTTTATTCTTGACAATTTTTCAAAAATATACAGGGTGCGCAAATAAAAAAAAACTGAAAAATGGGTCCCCCTATTATTGAAAAGTGGCAATAATTTCAAATCTATGTTTTAGATGTCAGTTTTTTTCACATGACAATATAGCCTATATAGAGAGCTTAAAATTTTGTATTTACGGTTTTTAAGTATTGTACAGGGTGTTCGCGAAATTCCGTGTAATATTAAAAAACATAATAAGTACTCCAAATTTGCAGCTGCCCACTTCAGACTTGGGAGAGAAGTAGAATTCTGGACCCGCATTTAGACTTTTTTAATTGGAAGCAATAAAATAACGCGAAGTATTTTCTTTTTAATTTTTGAATTTTTTTTGGTTATTTTGGCATCCAGAAATACATCTTTTCCTCCAAAACCATTCGTGTGATCGAAAAAATTTTACAACCGTAATACGTGGGAGATCCGGCGGTACAACTATTGTTTTACGCATTTTTTCCATTATATACAAGTTGTTTTAGTTATTGAAAAAAATCTAAAAGACCCTAAAAATTGTTCTTTTAGAGAGCAAATTATTAACCGTAAATCAAAATTCGTACAAAAAATAGCACATCCGTTTAAACAGGCCGCATCAAGGGCTACAATTTTTTTATTTACTGTTTTCGTCTACCATATATACTGTTCGAGATATTTGAAAAAATCCAAATGAAAATCACCATTTCTCGGCCCCAATCTAGACGCGATGACGTCATTTACTATTACCACGTACTGCATGGTTTCAGAAAACAAGTAGTTTTTTGAAAACCGTTTACTCCAATGGAAAAATTCGGATACGAGGGAACTAAGGAGATCCAGGGCTATATCCTCTATTTCGAACATTGTTGGAATTATATACAGGGTACATCGTTTGTTGGCAAAAAAATCTAATAGATCCTAGAAATTTCCGCTTTTGTGGGTGAATTATTGGCGACACATGAAACATTTTTAAAGATGTGATAATTTGATATGCACAGTATCGTAAACTGTGTCGAGAAAGAGTTTAAGGTTTCGTATAATACAGCGGACGCAAGATATTTGAAAGAATATAATTTTAAATTGCAATTACCAGTACAAATTTTAATATTTACCGAAGTGTGCCGTCACTTTGAAGTTCGACGAGATGTGACGGACACGTTATACAGGGTGCATGCACAATTAAATAAAATAAAATAAAAAGCTGATTCGCGCTACTTGCGAAGAAACTTGCCCCAGCCAGAGACGATTTTTCGAAAGCGATCTTGTTTACAAACCTGTCAAACTATCTCAACCCAAGTAAACTTCACCACAAGCTTCAAAAGACAATGAGTCCGAAAGCAACCACAAACACTGCTGCGTCAAACACAAAATTCCGTCTCAGATACCAGAATTTTTGCAGCATTCCATTCAAATGCGAAAAAGAATACATTGAAGAGACGGGACGAAAAATATCAACTAATTCCTGCATAAAAAATGACGGGAGGCACTTTGAAAATTTATAACGACCTATGATTTTAACTTCAATCAATTTTGTTATGCTTTATCGTTGTCAATGTTTAGTTTCCATAAAGCTCGGATAGAGTTATCAGTTTATAAGCGTTGTGTTGGGTTAAGACAAAGATATTGAGATTCAGTTTTCACTGGTTTGCTGGGCTCTTGTTAGACTATCTAATCATATCGCTGCACTAATGTTTTTTTGCCATTATGTCAGAAAACGCTGGAGTATCCCCACCACTTTCCTTTTAGAGTTGGATTAAAAAGCATCTAATACAAAAGATTTGAATTTGTTTCATCTTTAAAACAAAGTTTTCTATAAATATCATCATCTATTTTTATAAATATCATTTCCAGAATTTTTTTCAAATTTTTATTTCCAATTTATCTGAACTTGGCGATATTGCCTGTAAGTCCCTCTTAATGATTAAAAAACATACTATACATAGGTGGTTCCACCCTCGTCTAATGGCTATTGGTGAACTGATTCGCATCTCAAGAGAAACAGCTGAATAAAGCACGCACCTTTCCTGTTTTATATTCATCGTCGCTGTACTTCTCATTTTCGGTCTCATCGTTGGATACCTGGGCGGGTTCCGGAACCAAAATCAGCCTGTCGTCTCTACTAATTAAGTTGTTCCCTCCGTTCGGCACGTGTCCATTCGCATATCCGTTCGGTTTGACATTAACATTTTTAGGCTGCAATTCGGTCTCCGATGGAGGCTTATCCTTGGGGACCACTTCTTCGCTGTAACCCTCGTCTTCGTCGTCGTCCTCGTCAGTCTTGCGTTTGTGCCTTTCCGCCGATTCAATGTCTCTTCTGCCGTACTGAAAAAAGTCAGACACGATAAAATGGGTGAATTTAAAAATTTATTTATTTATTTATTGTTTTAACGTTAGAAGAATTTTAGATTAAGAACTTCCCTTCAGAGGTTCCACTTGACCTACTGAACTCCGGTCTTTCAGGACCATTGGTTGACAGTTTTTGTATAATACGATAAAAATATATTTATTTATTGTCGTGACTTTTTAAGTAGTTTACAGTAAAGTATATAAAGATATAAGAAAGTAACTAACTGATACGAATTAAGGAAAGACCCGAGCAAGCTGTAAGAATGAAATATGACCGAACAGGTATTTATGTATGTATTTATATTTAAATCTAAAATAAAATTACAAATTATTTTTATTACCTACTTAAATTACTTAAAATTATTCACATAATATATCAGTATCACTGTCGCTATCATCGCCTGTTCTAATTATTATTTGTTCTATATTGTTTGCAATATGCATATACGATTGTTCTGTTTTTTCTATACGTTTAACAGAATTTACTCAACTTTGTGGAGGGATGTTAAAAACTTCGGTTTCTACAAGTTTGAGGACATTGGAGTTAACACGGGAAAAACATTATTACGACGAATGGAAGATTTCAGTTGGTGCCAAACATGTTCAATAGGATTAAATATACAGTGGTAAGATGGAAGCCTTAAAACTGTATGCCCTAGATTTTTTGCATAATTATCACAGACGTATTCCTTTTGTAGGCTCAAGCTTTATAGAACCTCAATTAATTGCTTTTTGGTATAATCTTCGTGAAAATAAATGTCGTTATTATATATGTAGTTTTGGATTGTTGCTTTTGTGTCACATGAGAAACCCCCTTTTAGTCAACTATCTACTGTGATAACTTGCATTGTCCATTACAATGACGCTATTAGGAGGAATATTTGGAACTAGTTTGTTTTTTAAACTAACTTTCAAATAAATCAGCGGTGGTGTCTTCATGGTAATCCCAAGAAGAATCTTTAATATTTTTTGCAGACAGAGAAAGTCCATTTGGAATCCAACCATCTTTAGAGCGAGCATGCAAAATAGTTATTCTTTTACCTCTTTTTAATGGCGCGTTTGTTTTACACTTATCAGTTGAGTCAACCCAACCCTTTTCCGGGGTATCATAAGTGTCGAACCAGGTTTCATCCAAGTAAATAAATAATGGCCTTTGTTGTTCTCTGTAAATCCAAATTTTTTCTAGATATTCAAGTCGCCATTTCCGAATTCTAAAAGATTCCATTAAAACTTGCCTTTTGTCATTTTTTTGTTAATCTAAAACCCATGTGTTGAATACACTTCCATAAATCTAAGACCCATGTGTTGAATACACTTCCATAAAGTAGTTCTGCCACATTTAGCCTCCTAATTAAAAGATCTAATGTAGGCACGCTTTGTTCCTCGTATAACTGGTAAATTTTACGCCGTATTATATCTTGATCACTTTCATCTACCCGAGAAAATGTCAGCATCGCTTCTTTTTTTCCTCGCTGAAATTCACAATTTTCCATACAGTTGATGTTGGAATTTTCGTCAATATGGCCGTTTCTTCTAAAGATGCTTGTTTGCTGGCACCACGTTCCATGAATGTCAAATAAACATTGTTTATAACTTCCTTAGTCTAAATAGAATAGTGTTTTCTACATTTGGGCGGGAGCATCTCCTGAGATACACTAAACTCGCACATATTTTGCATAATTCGCACGCGATTCAACACACGCTGTATTACACACAAAATAAGAATGATTACTAATAAACTTAAACTAAGTAGTATACCAAACCAAGGAATAAGCACAGGTAGGTATAAAATTATTTTCTATTACGGACCACAATTTTACCTGAATTTAAATTTCGAAACTTTAGGTAATAATCTTGTTGCATGTATGTTAATGACCACCCTTGGATAATCCCATTCAAAAGCAATTGGTCACTTTCTTATATCTATGAACATACCATTCCTTAAACGCAGACCTTCGCAGAACCATGGTAAAACCCATCCCAATAGATATTTATTCTGCATTAAATGGGTCTTGCCCGAGATGGACCGTAACGAGCATTTGTAGAAACATGACATTTTTATTCCAAACTTAAACGGACAGTTTTAAATTTGATTACGCATTGATGCTGCGACGTATTTTGAAATAAGTAGAAGCGTTTATTTTAACATCAGGTGATACGTATCGTTCTTAAGAGTTTAATCTAAATTGCAATAAGTTCGTATATATTACGGAGGTAGATATTTGTCTGTGATCCTTCCATTACATACGTATTTATGTACCTGTTTCGCGAGTTTTGACCCTGCGAGACTGTTTTCGCTGAATAGTTTAAAGTTTATAGTTTATAAGTACCTGTACTGTATTTATCTTACAGGTAGGTTTAAAAATAATCATTTTTGTCTTGTGTGCCTGTCAATTAACAACATTTTTCTTGTATTTTTGATACCTAATCTCTAATTATTGGCTCGAACCATAACAATGGGTGCAATCACGTTACCGATCACGCGGTGTTGAGACTTAAGATTTTCCAAATATTGTCGCTGCATCATTTAAATGTGATGACCTACTAATTTCTCTGTGTATCCACGTGGCAGATTATTTTATCGCATTCTGCTGCGCGATAAGTTTACCAGCGGCTAAAAAAATAAAATCAGGCTTGTTTTCTGGCTAAATGCAAAGGATAAGGTTAATTTATGTAAAGCGGAATCATATTTAATAATAATAATGAGAGAAGTAGAACAAGAGTTGTGGAATTGACGGTCAAAATTTGTTGTGTCAATTGACCGGAATAATTTATAAAATATAATGAAAGTCGACATTTAATAATAATAATAATAATAATAATAATAATAACTTTTATTTTATCAAATACATAAAAAATGCAAAGTATTTTATGTATGTATTTTTATGTTCTAATAAACGTTAAAGGAATGAAGTGCTTGTAGAGTGCTTGTACGTGATGAAAGTGAAAACATTTTAGTTTTAGTTTATAACCGGGATCTATTGTCAAAGTGCATATAATAGTATATTATGCAACAAGTGTGGTAAACGGCATCTGACTCACGAGTTTATTTGACACGAGCGCAGCGAGTGTTTAATAAACGAGTGACTTAAAAAGTTCACCAAACGTGTTGCATACTATACTTTTTCTACGACAGTTAGTTTTTGGGTACATTTTCGCAAAACAACAAGAATACATTCACTGATATGGCCGTCAAAATCAAAACGTCAATGTCAAAATTCAAAGCGTGGGAAATATCTCCGAAAACATCCGATCGGTCTCAAACCCGTGCGGTAAAATTCCGGAAATGTCCGAAGTGGCTCGGATTCATGGGAAGCGAAACTGACGTGATAAAGTGACGCTTCCCGCACGCGAGATCGTTGGATATTTTACAGACAGAAAAACAATAATAAATATTTAAGGTCGTTTAAATCAATAAAAACTTGTCGACCTCTTAACAAGATCCGCTTTAAACCTTTGAAAAGGTTTTGTTTCCTGTATATATCTCGGCAGCAGGTTATACAACCTGGGTGAATAGAACTTCAGACTTCTTTGACCGTGTGTTTTGTTAGGAACTGTTGTACTGACAGTACAATTGTCTCATACCCGAAAATAAAGTATTTGTTGGATAGCATCTGTCTTTACCATAAACAGTTTTGACAAACCATTTTTGTATTAGGTTAAGTCTGCGTAGGTGTTTTTCAGAAGCTCCGCCCCAACCAAGAATGCTGACAAGACAAGTAAAAAGCTTTTAATTGTTTGATGTGAAGGAAATCTTTCAAATACGTAAAGTTTGCCAGAAGCCCTCTGAATTTGTTTAGTAAATAATTAATATGCACATCCCAGCGAAGTAAATTGCCAACTTTAATACCAAGATACGTTATTGATGTCGCTTCTGGTATTCATAATGATCAAATTTGAAGCTCACTATTTTTGTAACTTGTGAAAGACATGTACTTTGTTTTACCTATGTTTAAAGTCAACTTGTTATGTTACCAGTTCTTTAGCTTTATAAAATCGTCTTTTATTTGTATCTTAAGATCGTGTGTGCTTTTGCTTATTACTATGCCTGTGGACTGGAGATTTACCATATCGTTTATATAAATAAGGCAGCGCCTTGCGGAAAGCCAAACTTTGCTGACCTCTCGTCACTTAAAATGATATATTTATATATTTATTATAAAATACATATTATTATTAAATAATGACAGATAACACTCTACAATTCCTGCGAAAATATTGTTTTGAAGCTCAAAACTATCGAACAGCCCTTGACATCATCAGGAATGGAATTGAAGCTTTGATAAATAATTAATAAGTTTTTCATAAAGGTGCTTTGACTGTCCGCTGGGCGAACGCGCGAAAGCTAATATACATAAATGGAAAAAGAATCTTTGACCAAAACTAAGCCAATCGGGCTTGTTGCATGAAGCGGTCAAATTTCCTTATATTATAACAAAATCTTAAACAATAGGATAAAAGGGGAATGACCAGAACTTTGCATAATAGTAATTTAATGTCTTCAGTTATTAAATCCTTAAAAATATAAAAGGTTCTTAGTTTCCAGTAGCTCTTCTGCAGTTTACTTCAGAAGGTAAATAAAATAGATGCGATTCCGATAACATGATTTTTTTAATATTCAACAGAATGTTAAAGTTATTATTTTTAAACGAATACCCGTTTTTACCAAATAATACCTGTGTTTTCGTCCTATTCGGCTACAGCAAATGTTGAAGCTTGAAGTATACCTATAAGCTGCATATCGTCAGCATATTGATGCGACACTAGATGTTTAAAGTAATATACTGCCCTGGGGAACCCCCCATGTAATATCAGAAAGCGGTCGTAGTATCCTGCGATGCTCCCAATTTTTATATATGCAACGCCTCAGAAACTAGATCTACGACGAACATTGGATAGCTGCAAATATTGATAATAGGCAACGAGCAGCATTGCAAAAAATGTCATCATTTTTAGCCGTTTTCTAAAAATTAATT